TACGGTCTAAATGCGCCCACGCTTTTCTCACGACACTAAATATGGCCATTCTCAATTTTACGTTGATGTTTGATGATTCAACAACTTAACGACTTAATTTTTTAGGGCTTCATTCCTAAAAGGTAAATACGGAACCCTATTATGACGGCGATGGCTGTAGCAGATAGGCCTGTTTCTAGTCAGCGTCTATAGACACCATAATAGACCAAGATATACAGCGTACATTTTTACAAATGTATCATACACATGTGAAGTATTGTCTGTTGACGCGAGTAGTACATCTTAAAATAAAATACTTTTAACGGTTTAAAACATGAAATGTATGAGTTCACTTAGATATACATAATTTATTTTAACTACAGCCTGACAATTCATAAACTTTACAGCAGCCGTGGTCATGTAGACAAATGTTAAATAAGTTACTAATACATTTTGCGTTTTAAACAGTTAAAAAAGTTTTATTTAAAACTTAGTATAGTAAGTCCTTATAACATAAAGAGGGGAAGGCAGCTATACAAAAAATGCACTGTTAAATAATATTAGTACAATAAATTGTATACTTACTATAATTATCATATAATATATTATAAGATCAAAGTCACGATATAAAATTTTTATACAAATTTTGATTATCTGGGCTTAGGTAACCACTCTTCGTGTTAGATTCCGACTCGGACTTGACCGCTTTTTTCTAGCTCTGTCGCGGGAGAGGTAAAACATTGTTTCAATTTGAAGTGATGGTTTCTGCGAATCGTGTCTGGATTCAGCTATAAAAATTACTTTCGGCTCTTAAGTGAATACTAGCTGACATGACAAACATGTTTCATAATACACAAACATAATATATTTAAATAAATGATGGTTTTATGATGGAGGGTATTTTTTGGTTAGGGGTCATCCATAAAGTACGTCACACGTAAGGGGGGGGGGGGTCAGGAAAGTGTGACATGGTGTGACGAGGGGGGGAGGGGTCCTAAGTTTCGTGACATCACATTTTAAAATCTAATGTATCTAGCGGTACTAATCGCGTGATTTGAAATACATATTAATTAAACTAAAAAAAATATTTCAACCTCTATCGAATAACGAAATAAAATTAATTTCGGAACTGCTGTTTTAATCTAATAATTTTTCGATGTGAAATTGCAAAACATGTGACGTCACACTAAAGAGGGGGTCTCAGAAATGTGACCACCTGTGACAAGGACGGGGGGGGGTCTCAAAAAATCATGACACGAACTTTATGGATGACCCCTTATATGAGAAAAATGTAATACTAGTAACCATACAAGAGTTAAAAAAAGCATTATTTGAGGTATGAAAGGTAGAAGCCGATTAAATTTACCGAATATGCATAAAAATCTCTTTGAAATCAGTTAAGCCGTTTTAGAAGTAAACATTTTGTGTTCATAGAATAAGTCCTGTGGTGTTTATAACTAAAGTTATTTTTTTTATTTTATTAGATACTTATTGGTTTTTGCGAGTCAGGCAAACAATTGATCTATTAAACTGTAGCTCTCTCTTCTTTTCTTTACTTTATCTTGTCGCCAAAATCAAACGACTCTTGAATAAAAACCGAATTCGTTGTCAAAATTCGTTTGGAGACGTCAATATTCGCTTTGATGATGTGACAGAATCGAAAAGGGACATCGGAGATGTAATATGATATTCAAGAATTTGACAATCGAAATGCTGAGTGTCTAAACTTTGATCCAAAGTTCAACAAAGCAATAACAAAGCATAGTAAGTATACGTTATAAAAAGCCAAGAACAATAAGTTCTTTACTACTAATTTAAAAATAGTTATATTTACTTCTACTGAATAATTTAAAGTAAAAAATGTCATAGAATTAAGGTATTCTTAAGAACTCGTAGCCACCATTAGGAACGAGAAGTTCTGCGTTCAAACCCGATCTAAAGATAAATTTTTTGAGTGTACACATTTAATTAAGACACTTGAACGGTTTAAAACGGAATATCTATTAATAAAATCTGTTCAAAAGACACAAAAATGGGTTCACCATGCCCCACGGGTGGCAACGAAATTAACACTACTAAGAAAGTAGTGTTGTGCATAAAATGTAACAAAAAGCTATCAACATCGTAAGCAATACTAGAAAATCTAGAATACAATAAAAATAGACTACAAAAAATAAATCGAAAATCATTCGACAATTAGACTACGTTTTAACTGGTGATTCGACAAAAAACTAACTGTTGTTTTTCGTTGTGTTGCCTAATATAATAAAAGGCAAGTGCTGGACTGAATCGGAGGGTTCCGTACAAATACGACTTTTTAGTTTGGTGCCTACTGTACTATTTGACGCTTGTAATGGTAGTACAGCCAGACAGCAAAACTTAGTAATAGAGCTGTTTGGGTACGAATCTCTAAATAAATATCACAAACTTAAATATATACAGATAGTAAGAAATTAGGACACGGACGGGACTTGAACCACCACCACGACGTTCCGCTCTACTAACCAATTGACCTACCGTGTAAAATGTGTCTTTTTTGTTGGGTTCGGATTGACATATGACAAGTTGAATTTGTCATATCGGTAACTCTCAATATGTCCTTACCATAATCGAATCCGCGACCTCGATTTCCAGCACAATTACTCACATTATCGACGTCTAAGTGCAAAACATAGATACTTGCTTAATTTAAGCAATAGACTTTGCACTTATTTAATATAAAAAAGCTTAAACAGGAAATTCGTTTTTTAAATATTATTTACATAATTGCTTAACTATGGCAAAGATAAAGCATTCATTCCTACATTGTGTAATATAAAAAGACGCAATTTTTTGTTCGTTATAAAAGAAAGGTACAGCGATTGTGCAGGTAAAAGTGTTTAAAGTTTTTTCTTTGAACAAAATAACGGTGAATCAATTAAGTACCATTTTTGCATACAGGCCGGACTATTTTTATTATATAATTATTATGTTTTGTCTACGATTTGAGATTATCAAAACTATATAACTATCTATAATAAACCTCGCCTACTAAATATTTATGTTAGGCTTTGTGTGTATCTTACGCGAGTAGGCCACATTTAAATAAAACACTTAATTTCATAAAATTACTGTCGCTATTGACCAAAGTTGGCTTTGAACATTTCAAAGGCGAGATATAATTTCACGTCTGTATTTTACGCGAGCAGTACACATTTAAAGACACTATTAACGGTCTAAAACGCGAAACGTACGTATTAATTAACTCGTTTACAATTTATTTTACCTGCGGCTCGAAGTTTCGGCTGCTTTGCATAAGCTCTGGTTATGGTGATTGAAGATGGAAGGTGGCCCTAATGTCAAAGTCAAAAATGAAGTACATTCTAAAGAGATGTTTGTATCCACTTATAAAATAAACAAGAGTCTTAGTAGCCAGCTAGCTGCGTACACTCAACTGACAAAGTCCTCAAACTCCTCCGAATGGTATTTCCACAGCGATTGTACAAATAACCGGTACACAAAGCATTGTATATTCACCTCAGCGCCGTAAAAACTGATGAACCCGACTCGTCAGTATAACGCGACACATTCGAGATGATCGCCGACACACACTGCGACACTCTGAATCCACACTTATACATTTATTCACACATTTATACCCGGCTAATAGCTGTAGCCGATAGGCCGCTGTTGTACTTATTGATGTATTATAACGTTCGCAAGGCGCGGTCGTAAATGCAATTATTTCATGCCCGATGCTTACCTTGCTCGATAGGAACGATCAAAGAGTTTATATAATCTACGCTGGACGACCACAGACAATTTAAACGATTCTTAATCGAATTAATACGATAAATAAATACAGTTTATATAATAAACGAGTTTTAGGATACAATAGTGATGCGTAATAGGTGCTGGCCGGTTTGACACAATAGACGATAACATGCACAAAAGAGGTCTTCGGTGTTCGATATTTGAATTCGTTCTTCGCGGTGTTCGATTTTTAAAAAAGGGCATTACACCAGGCAACAAACCCACTTACTGTTTCGTAATACGTTAAATCTGCTATCTAGTGATGTAACAATCATTTATCATTTATTTATGTTAATGATATAATATCTTTCGTAAAGAACGCCCGCATGAATGAGAGATAATTTTGTTGACCTTGTCTTTAATGTCATAATGCTGTGATTATGCTTAGAAAATGGCCTTTAAGAGAACTACATTGTAAATACTAATTAGTAGTAAAACGTTCGATTTACACTATTAAGAATATTCGATAAACAGGTTTTCAGTCAACACAGAATGTACTTGAGTTTAAAAGATAAAATAAAATAACACAACTAGGAGGAAACAGTTAAACACAATTATTATCTTTATCGTCGTAGACTTCCGTAACATTTGACTACAGACGATTAATGTTAAACCAGTCCGATTGTACTTTAAAACGAATTGTATAAGCAATGCGTTTCTCGGAAGCGTATAAAACATTGTTAAACATACGTTAACACGTATCACTTTCTAATTTCAATAACACTAAAAAACTAGATCATTGCGAAGCGTTTTTGTGACATAATGATGTCGTTACACCTGGCGCAGTTATTTATAGAACCGAAATAGCGTAAGCAAATAAGATAAATCGTTATTCGTTACCTGAACAGTCCGATACTCGTATCTCGGCGATTTCGATAGCACACAAGTTTCTCACGATCAAAACTGACGGGAGCGAACGTCAAACGCTTCGAATTAAGAACGCGATGGCCGCTAGCCACTAAAATTATTGATTTAGTTACAAAACAACAAAAGATATAAAACGGCCGCACACCCCCGCGCCCGAATCGATCACAATGATAATTGTCGCACACAAAGAGTGACTACTCACCTAGACGAAAGCACAACAACAAACAACGATTTTTGAAACGGCACACGTCACTGTTTTCACTTGACACGGGCGAATGTTTTTTCGTTTGAATGATTAATTAGCGCGAATTGATAGCGATTTGTGTCGCGGAGACGCGAACAATTCGACGGGCGCTGGCAAGATGGCTCCGTGCGCGGCTACCCGGCCCCCCGCGCGTCGCGTACGTGCAATGAAAGATAGGTGACCGGTACACGCGTCGGGCAGAACGAGGATCGGTCTGGGGATAGAGGTAGCGACGTTTGCGCGTTTCAATCCGACGATATCGCGGCGTGGGACATGGTGAGATGAGCGTTACATGGATAAGTTCTGATAAAAAGTAACTCTGACTGACTGATTAATAAATGCTTAAAAATGTATGATGAGTATATTATTTATTTATAGGTAAAAATTATGATTAAAAAAAGAAAATGAATGAATGAACATTAAGGGGGAAAATAATAGGATTTTCTTTAATCATAGAGTAAACGATATTAAAAATCTTACATAATATTTTACGGTAAGGCTCTAGTAATTTCTTAAAAGTTACAAAGAAAGTGTCAGGTTTGATTACGAGTTCTCTTAACACACGAACAATAATATCAGGCTAAATCTCGAGATTAATCCCGAGATATCCACATCGTGTGCACCCGGCGCTCCCTTCACACCGCTGCGATCGCCCCCTCTGCCTACCGACCTCTTATATACTGCTCTCTTTACAACAAAAAAAACAGCAATTTCCCAAATTCCCGGCCGTGCGCTCTCTCGCTCGTGGCGAACCTAAGATGGCCGACGGCGTCCATTTTGATCGGAGATTACCGCCAACCGCGTCCCCTACAATTCAAAACCTATTCGAGGGCACAATCGTACATTAATGACGCGGATTTCGATGTATCGCACATGAAATTAGGCTATTTTTTCCCGTTCTACGCGACCGTGGCGAAATAAACGCGATAAAACACCGCGTTGGCGATGTAGCGTATATTGATTGATGTCAATGACACATAAGTTTAAAATGTAACCGATGGTTTTGTCTCTTTCCCTACCTGAGCGTAATAAAACGATACTATACTGCTTAGCAATGGGCTCAACCTAGCCTTTCTAAAAGCGAATGTTTCAAGCGGTTTGTTTAAACGGCGCAACATTGTAGTTTACGTTTCTGGAGATAGACTAGGCATTGGGACGACGTTATATTACAATTTTGATTACAGATGGATTAGTGTAGTTTATACTTTATTATATAATCTTTGTAGCTTGATTTCTTTATTTTATCGATAGTTACAGACACAAGTATTTGTTTCTTTAGGCATTTTTTAAATAAGATAGCCTTCGTAGTTTAATCATTAAACCAAGCATAGTGTTAAGCGTGTAAGCGCCCAGGTTCGAATCATAAGGCGACATAATAACTTCGGTCGGGCAGGGCATTAATAATAACAACTTCTATATAACCACTCAAGGAAAGCAACCCAGGAACCAGATATACACGTGTCTGCCCCATGCCCCACAGGGTGAAACAAACGTTCACTTATTATTTAATCATCGTATAATTCATAATCATAAATTTGTAAATTTATTTACTTCTTGAAATTAGACAACAAGAGGCTCAGGCTACAATTTTTTTAAATATTTACACGGGATTCGAACCCGTTGCATTTCGTCGGCAGTAAAATTTATGTCACGGGGCCATACTTATTTTATTGTCAAATTGACCTTTTAAGCATATTTTGTGCACTAAAGAACCATAACTCGACATCTTTTTACAAGGCGAACGATTTGATGGTCAATAACGATTGTAATTTATTGTTTTTATTATCAGCCAGTACTAAAATGATTGTTATGCACTTATAATGAGATTTTATTGTTATTTACTACAGATAATACAAAAACTATAGTATGGCTGATCGAATTTTTTTTGTTTCACATGCTATTGAAAAAGCTTATTCCACACATATGAATATTCATATGTGTGGAATAAGTCGCTTACATTTGTTAATATTATACATATTTTTTTATTAAATACTCTAGTAACCTAGTTGAAAGGCGTTAACCGGCATTTTGGCATGTCCTAGTCAAATCGACGGAAACCAAAACAAATTATTTGGAACGAAGAATGTACAAAGACAGGCACTTTCTGACTCGTAAGTACACAAACTCCACTATTAAGCGATCAGTTACTCCAATAAAAAATCGTTCGAAATTCGAATTCGTCACTTTATTTAAAATAATTTAGACCATCACATGCCCTTGCGCATTATTTTTCCCACACGGCAGATGAGTTTAAATCAACTGGTATATGAAGAGCCCTTCATTCTCACGAAAGTCACCTTAATCATCTGTAGATCAACGCAAAGCGCGGAGGAGGGTAGGTCAAAATGCTGGTCGGTACGGATCAACGACCTTACTTAGAATATCTAGTTTTAGTATATGACACACTTGTAGTTGAAAAGCGTTTGATTAGCAGTTTCAAAGTGGTATTTTACGTTATTGGAAGAAATGTAGAGTCTCTATGGTACTTATTAATGAGAGCCTATAACAGAATTGCATAGGTGTAAGATTTAGACGACAGTTGGAGATACGTTTTTAGACTGAAAATAGATAATTTTTAAGGATGTTTGTTTTTTTTTTTCACACCCAAACAGCTAAGATTAGTAGATACTCGTGTTAAATTATGATATCGCTTCGCAGTAGAACATCTTTTAATAAAATTGCTGTAAGTAGCATTTACTTATTTAAAAAAGAATATTGTATTGTGTCGTATTGTATTGTATGTAGTTGAAAAAAAGAAAACAAAAGTAGTTGTTATTATTAAGTAATTTAATTTCCTGTGCCACCTATGACGCTGCAGAGCTTCCAAATCGTCGGGTCATGATTAAAATAAAATGCAAGTAACTAATATATTTCGGTTTTGAATCAGTTTGAATTCAATTGATTTCTTACAGCTACAAATGATTTAAATTAAAATATTTTTTAGCGATTATTAACTATCGTTAATAAAACTAAGTTATTACAATTGTGTATACCTTTCCAACCTTCTAAAGAAGTGTTCTTTCTCAGACGAGACTCGGTTACGGCGGAGTCAGTTAAAAATAGTCTGCGCTTAAGTAAATCAGTAATCAATAAGTAGCTAGGATGGCTGGGCGGCAGTCGCTAGTCGACAGAGGTGATACATCGTTCCATAAATATTGATTTTATATACAAACGGACAGGGCTGCCAATTAATAGCACGGCCAAAAGGGTTGCTTTCGAGTCGAAATTTGTTATTTAAAAGTCTAGTAGAAGACCAAACAGACGACATTTTAAATCTTTGCTAAAGCCAAGCGTTCGAACGCATTCGAAAATCGAAATAAAAATAAGTTGACTAATATTTAAGTTGTGTCATAGTTAATAATTAAACTACAGACAACAGTCTGTTGTATACGAATATATGGCCTATTTTAATATAACTTTATATTACGGAGTGTCAATTGTCAAATACAGCAACAGACTGCATTTGACTTAGCAAAATTCTATAAACTAAAATTATAGTAGGCAGATTAATTACTGATTTTTTATATTTTACGTGCAATTCATTAATATTGTGTGTCTATATGGAGATAAGAACATTAATATTTAAATGTTTTATAATCTTTGCTTTTCTGCAATAACTCCTAACCTAAAAATTGCTCTTGCAAATACCTATATGAAATATCAAAAAGTGTATTAAAAAAAATATGACGCCAAAGAATTTCTGAAAAAGAATATCTGTAAGAAGAAATTCATAAAAAAGATAAATTTCTGCTCTCTATTTTTAATTAAAGTAAAATAAATATCAATAATTTATTTCGTCAAATCAATTTTGTTTAACCCTAAGCCACAGCTTTGCCTGCGGGGTTGTCACAAAGGGGCAGTGAGATGTGAGAACAAGACAACAATATAAATCCACCCAAGTCAGAACGAGAGAGCGAACGGCCCATCTCGAGACTGCGAGGTAAACGTGAATCTTTTATTCGATACATTTGATTTTCTAATAAATTATGCTTTTGTTGATTCCGACATTTGTTTTATTTGTAAAACAATGCATTATATTAAAACAACTGTATTTCATTCAAGTACATATGCGACAATTGTTATAACTGTGTAGACTATTGAAGTTTTGTTAAAAATTTGTCCTTTGTTTCAAGCAAACGTGACATTAAGTACCTACTTCCGTTTAGCTACTTAATTAAATAACTCTGTTGTTGTATGATTAAATAAAAAGCTTACATTCAAAAATGTTTTATATCCAGGTAGAGCAGGTAAACTTGAAGAACGAATGCCAGACCGAAAATTAATCACAATCATTTGCATGGATCATATCAGGTTTTAAACTGTATTACTATATCTTTACCATGAGAATACAACTCAATGATGTAATTATCAGGTATAGAATATATCCCTTATTAAAACGAATGACAAGTGGTTTGTTTAAAGTAATTAAATGGTAGGACAGTTCGGTGCAAAGTTACAAGTTGTTTTAGGGCTATATATTTGAAATATTTGCTTAAAATTACAATTAACGCTAGCCAGTTGCTTAAAGTCACAAAACGTGCACCTAATTATTACATTCTACAAGCCGTTATACTAATTAAAGCGTAAAAGTAGAATGAATGCAATCGTTGTTTTGACCAAATTTGAAAAACTTGAACAATGTAAGGTTGTATTACATACCTGATAGTTAATATCACGTTGCAATGCTGTTGAATCACTATAACACAGCCATAACTTGAAATTCTTGAAAATTAGTAACGTAAACAAATCAATTAAATACAAGTTATCAAATACAAAGCCTAGCGTGGTTAACGATTACGGATTATGGAGAGCGATTGTCAGTTGCCGGTTGGTTAGATAGCTAGCGACACCTAGTGGTTTGTATGAGAAAAATTACTACTACCAGGCCACTAACCAAAAGTTAATGGCGTTAAAAATGACTTATGTGTTTGAACACAGATGTCACTAATACACAAATGTTTAATATTATATGTGAATTATGACGCCATAAATACATTTTGCCTTTTCGTTAAAAATAATTTAATTAATACCCGAAAGCCTTGTAAAGAATTAAATATGTTAAAATAGTAGCTAGCGCTAAAAACTTCCATATGTTCAAATAATAGATGGCGCTTTTAACACAAACTTTTGTAAATATAGTAGGTGCCGCATTTTTTTGTGATTATTATTTTTGTAAACTTTATTTCATTTGGTATTATTATTTGTAAATTGCATAGGTCAAATATTAACTATAACAATTAACTTTATTACTTTTTATCATTCATTTTCACTTTTAAAATAGTTAATTCTACTCGCCAACAGATAGAGCTTGGTAGAGATAATAAATTGGTTTTATTTATTCCTTTTGACGCTTATGTTTTACAATCTAATCATTAGTATTGATTAAATAAAAAAATAATAATTTTTTACTTCCTGACAAGCATTACAAAACAATACATACAATATTTTTTCCCTTATTTTAATTTTTTTTTTTAACTGCATAACCATAAAATATGTTAGTTAATTTAAATAAACTACTTACATAAAATTACTTTGTATAAAATCGAAATTAAAGTTTAATTAAATTATGTGCCCAACGTATCCAAAAAAACCCGTAAGCATTTAATAGTAAGAAATAAAAATACTTAAATACTTATTTGTGTTGCTCTGGTTTATGAAAGTTTACATTTAATTACAATACATTAACCGTATAAATAATATTTTGCGTTTTATACCATAAAAACACATTGTTTTACTTTTAAAAAAATATATGTAAAA